CCACTTTACACCCTTTAACGCAAAGCTACTTACTGGCAATATCACAACTATAAATACAGTTCTCTACTGCTTTTCCAATTAATTTTGTCAGAAAAGAATGGCGTTCATATTACACGGAAAAAACTACCAATTAATTGAGATACAGCAGTTAAAGAATTGCGCTGATATCATGGTATTGTACTTAATATACCACAAAAGTCTATCAAGTTATCAGCACTACATGATGAACATAGTGAGAAGACTTATAGAAAGACAGAAACGCAGATGTACCTTTCGTTTCTTAAGGTTCCCTATCCCATTTCTACTGCTTCTGAAGCCTGTTGTCCGCTCATCAGCGTCATCCCCCGTGGATAAAAACTTGATATCAGAGAAATCTTCAGTGAGGCCAGCCAACCTGAGATAGCAAGAAAAAGATCAATTAAAAATGAAAATGAACTGTAGATATCAAATTCATGTAGTTATAGAAAGAAACTTGAGATTAAAACCAAAACTAATATCAAATCATATATACCCATTTCTTGATTTCTTTAAGTGCTTTTCCCTCTTCCTCTCTTCTCTCGTACGAGGAACACGAGTGAAAAGCTCCTCCTCTTGGCGTTCACGTTCTTCCCACTCTGCCCTAAATTTGTCGAGTTCCCTACTCTCAGCTCCAACAAAATCCCTAACCTGCATTTCACTCGTTAGTCACGAGAATATCAGTTGAACTCAAAAACCAATGCTCCTAGCACCAGACAAGCAGTTGACGACATACCTCCTCAGGTCTCCCCTCATACTCATTCAAGATTTCCTTCATGTATCTACTTTGTGTAGCTTGCTTCAAAATCTCCTTCTCCCTTCTTAATGCATTTCTTTCCTGCTTTGAGATCTTATCATCCTCCATAAAAACAGGTGCAAATTTGGGGGGTCGATATGTGCCATCCTGAAAATATTGGAAAATATTTTTTTTTCAAAAAAAAATTATCATTTGGTTATTCAAAGTAGTGAGAGATATTTTAACCAAGCTCACCTCTGGAATTGAGTCTGTTTTGCTAACAAGCATGTCAGGATTTGGGCGATATTTCAACAGATCCTCCGACTTCTTAGATACTTCCGGATCCTTTTCACTGAGACCTGGTTTCTCTGTAGTGGACACCCTTGTAAGCTTCTGAATTTGATACTGGAGTTTCTTGTCAATTGGTCGAATCTATTAGAATACAGATACAATCAGTATGATTCCACACTCTGCGATCAAGCAAATCAAGGATAAACGAATATCTATGCATTTTCCTACCTTCTCCAGAAACAACCTTATTTCCACAAGACTGCTAACTACTGGATGTCCCTCAATGGAAAGACCTTTTGCCTTCTGTAGCAAATAATAAACAAGTGACTGGCAATAGCTTAGAAGCAACAAATGTTTGGCCTCAAGATAGCTTATCCCATCAGCTGTTGGATAATTATTTGCTTTGACCTATCATAGACATGGAAACATCATACACCAATGATTGTATGATAAGATCAAATATTTTTCCCATAAATATTAAAAAACATTTAAATTTACGGATCATGGTGGAGGCAGTTACGGCAGAAAAAGGTGCATATCAATTACATGATAAGTATAAAACAGAAATCTTAATCAGGAAATTAAACCAACATCACTCACGCCAAAACAAAGCCATCGAGACAGAGATTTCGCAAAAGTGTTATATGTACTCTGGTT